GGCCCCCCGGTCACCCCCGCCTTCCGCGGGCCGCCCGTCGCCCCCGCCTTCCGCGGCCCCCAGGAAGCTGGAGTACGTGCCGTTCAGTTTCGAGCTGGTGCTGACGCAGACACCCGAGACTACCACGCTGGCGAATCTGAGCACTGGCGCCAGCTTTGTATTCAAGTGAGCACACGGAGATCCAACTGATGTTGTGAAAGCTTCTTCAGGGTGCAGCGCTCGTGTGACTCCTAATTTGAAGCTTTTCGAAGGCCTTGCAAGACAGTGTCGACAGAAGGTGAAGGTGCGCAGTGAACCTCGTGCGGTAAAAGAGAGAGATACATGGGATAATGGTCAGCAAAGATTCGAAGCTTGAATTTCATGTTCTGTGAGAGAAATCTTAGATCCCTTGCACCATTGGGTCTCAGGATTGTCTTGGTCTTAGAATTGATCTTCGCGCGAAACGGCCGTAGGACGAAAAGAGGGCGTGCATGATGGCTGAAACAATCGCTGTAGAGGCGGTTCCTAAGCGGAAATTGATTCCATTTTCTTCTTGATCCATCCGGTTTGATGGTGCCAACTCTCATCTCCACCCAGAAGAACTTTAAAATCCTCTATGCTACTTGGGCGTATCGAGAACGTACTTTGCTAAACAAGATAGCCTTTGACTGTATCTGCCAATCTCCCTCTGATCTGCAGCGATCCTGTCGAGAGCGTTAACAATACGCCCGCGTTTGCCGGCACTGCGGATGGCTTTGCCTTCTTCACTCAGGGGCTCAACTTCACCACCGGCGAGGCCGTCATTGAAATTGTGGCGACTATCGTCTCCGCCGCAAACCCCCGGGACACCTTCGCTATCATTGTAAGTCAACCACGTGCTCGTAACTTTCCTTTCCACAGACACTGGTAGCTCGCGTATCTCTCACAGGCCATTTCACTTAAGATTCGAGTTGCTCGGCAACCAAAGTACAAATCCTAACCCAAGGTCTACGCGCTCCGCACTCGATCACCCCAGGGCACAGAGATTCATAGGCTTTCGCGCTCGGCACTCATACCCACCCTAACCACCCATTCAATCCACCCGTCCCCAGGCGCCTATTTCGTTTGAATTGGGAGTTAGCAGAGTTTCCACATGTTAGCAGCCCTTATACAATCACAGGCATTAGAGAAGAGCCATAACGAGGACGCGACAGCTGTCACCATTAGGACCAACTCTTCAACCGTCAAGTGCGATCAAAAGCTTCCCCACTTAAGGTCGAAGAGCTCTTTCGCTTACGTGCCATGTATTGCCTGGACGGTATGCAGACCTCCTGGTTGACTTTGGACTCACCTGTAAATACTTGAGTGATTAGCATTCGGCCGGAATCGTTCTCAACTTTGCTGTACGCTGCATAGAGGTGTAACGGAGAGCGGCAGAGTCTCCCGGGCGCCTGTTGGGTCGTTGGCAGCAACAACATTTTTGAAAAACGTTCATTCGATGGGATCTTGTGTCGTAGACAAGCAATTTTGCTTTTCAGGACTTCCTCCTGGACTGTCGTGAAATTTTGCCTTGCCCCTTCTGCCTTGCAATCGGTCCTCTCGATGCAAACACGGTCGTTCTTTCTCCCTTACAGGGCCCCTCCAACAGCTTGAGCAACGTGGTGACAGATGTCGCCGTTGTTGGCGGCACCGGCCGCTTCGCCGGCGCCACGGGCGCTGGCAAGATCAGAGTCATCCAGTTCATTCCCGCCGATACCACAATTCTCCGTCTCGCCTTCTTCTTCTTTGCACTGGCAACTCCACTCCCCGTGCCGGCGGTCTAAGCCTCACCGGAGGACGCCGCGGCTTAGACTAGCTTTCCAACTCTAGGAGAGTTGCGTCTGCGAGCAGAAGTGAGAAGACGAACATTAAGCCCCATAGTAATACGTACGCTCGAGATTGGATTCTATACTCACTCCCTGCCAACAACGAGTAGCCTTGCAACATATCTTAATTGCGGCAGTGTGCTCATCCATTCAGGCCTTGAAGGACACTTATAACCAGCGCTAAATTCTCTCAATAAACGTTCCGCCAGGTCACTAAGTGACTGCATTGAAGTTAAGTTTGTCTTCTCGAAGCTTCGACATCCTCAGTTTGATTGTTTATCATGCCATCTTTTTAGATCGAAGGTTTTCACTATCATTGAATCAACTGATATTGCCAACGGGGGCGAACGCACTAGCTGAGGATCTTGCGCTTGCAATGATGATAAGGTTTGATTACAGTCACGGCCTAATCATGATTGAGCTGGTATATATATAACCCGTATCCGACCACCTGCACCTAAATGAAGCTTAATTTCGAACATAATTCTTGGGCTCCGGGGTCTCGTGCCACTGCGTACGTTCGGTTTCATTAAAAGCGAGCGCTCCAGCGCCCGCTCAGCCAGCAGCGTGCGCGGCCCTCCCTGACGCAGTCATACGATATGCCATCAACATTATGCACTCTAAGATGTATTAACGTACGTGGTACGCCGCGCCGGGTGCAGCCGCTGCTGCTTGTGTGACCGTCGAAATCATCTCCCACTGCCGCTACGGAAAGACATACACTTCCGCTACCGGCGCCGGAAGTGACCTTCACCCGTATTCACCGGCACAGCGGAAAGTCTGCAATTCATTCCATTGTGCTCAACCTTTCATTACTTACATTCACCACCATAACGATGCAGCATGAGATGAGCTGAGGCATGGCAGGAAGCCATGCGGAGAAGAAGAGAAGGCAAGCGCCTTGCTTCCCAATTCGTACTTCAGGAAAAGAGGATGGACAAGTCTTCCGCCATGCATATCAGTCACAAGCCTATAACGGGCCTATAATTGCCGATCACTGCGTGTCCTAGTCAACTTCTGCTGGCATGCAACTCCTCGTGACGGCACTAGGACGTTCCGTTCAGGGTTTAGCAATATCCATCGACGGCACGTCGACGCAACTATTGAAGCCGGCCGCGGCACCGCGCGCGCCGAATGGGGTTCTTAAGTTTGCAGCAGTGTACGTCATTCTATTTCGTCACACTTGATGTTGAAAGATCAAACTTGCATGGTGATAAGGTGGCTCAGTTCTTGTAAGTTCTCAGATTGAGGACTACACGTACACAAAAGTAACACCAGCTTATGCACGTAATGCCGAACGGGATCGACTGTGCGAGCGCCCGCGGCCCAATGTTACTATAAGCTAGCAGGCTATAGGCCGGGCGAAGCTAGTGCGACCTCAGTTCAAACTCCCATGTCGGACGGAAAGGACTCAGCCTGGACGATATTCGGCATGATTGTGGCACGGCTTGTCAAAATTACGCAGTTGTCGTCCAAAGAACTTAGGCCCGTTTCAAAACCAACAAGCCTGGCAGCTTGCAGTATACGTATCGCTTCAAGCGCGGCTCACTTAATCCTCAATGGCTAATCAGCTTGGCACTGTGCTCAATGCATCAAGTACAAACCGTCTCAAGGAGCTATGCCGTTTCCGCGAGTCTATCTGAAAGATGATCCACATACATAAATGTGTTTCAATGCAAGCCGTCCGCGAGCGCGCCGCACGCTAGGCCTGCAGCGTGAGCTTGCCGCTCTTGTCGGATACCAGCTTGGGGCGACGCATGACATCTTCGAGGCACTCGACGGTGTCGCCCACAACCCAGTCCCGGAAGTCGAGCGTCAGGCCGCACTCCTTGCCCTTATCCACGCGCTCCACGTCATTCTTTTCGCGCTTTAGTGAGTCGAGCCGCCCCTCGTACACGCACCGCCCGCTGCGCAGAATGCGCACCGACGCGCCGCGCCGCAGGCTGCCGTCCGTCACGCGGCAGCCCGCGATGGCCGTCTTCTCGGGGACGCCCTTCTTCTTTACGCCGAAGATCTGGAGGACCTCAGCCTGGCGCGACGAACGGAGACGGGGCGTGAGTTTCTGAGCCAATGAACGTTATTACTGGTGCAATGCAAGCACGACGCACAGGCATGAGTGGACGAAGATGCATCGTTGTCAAGTGCAGCGATCGAACACAACAAAAGAGGGCGGAACTTTTGTGCAGAAGGGTTTGTGTTTTCTAAGGTGACTCTTGAGTGAGGGTTGCTTATCAAGATGACGCGAGCGGAAAGAGACCAACAAGACAACTCAATCCCTCAACCAATCATATCAGAGTGTTCCTTTGAGAAATACTTCCACTCGAAGCAGTGCTTGGCTGCCAAAACGCTCGTTTCTGACCACGGTGGTGATTTTGCTCCTGTCAACAAAGAACCGCCACGAAAGCTGACCGTCCGTGCGTGCTACCGACAGACACTTTGACTCTCATTTTAAGCAGAACAGATGTTCAATACTCGTATTGCAGCGAACGACAAACAGTAGCAACGACGGCTTTGCACTTGAAAAACGTGCGCCGCGCACCTGCCCCGCGGCGCGGCTCTCCTTGGTCCCCGGCGCGAGGTTGACCATGGCGGTGCCAACATCTTCTAGCAGGTGGTAGATGACGCGGTGCTGATGCAGCGGCACGCCCTTCGCGGCCGCGAGCGCCTCCACGGGCGCACCCGCCTTCACGTTAAACCCCACCACGGCTGCGCGCGTGCAGCGGCGGCTCTTGAGGCACGCGGCCGCAGTTTCCACGTCGGAAAGCGACACGGGGCCCACGCCTGAGGGGAAAACGGCACACGCTCGTCAGTCAGTAGCTCGGTATCAGACGACGAACCATAAGCTCTAGAAAGTGAAGCTTACCGTGACAAGGTCTCAATATTCTTCGATGCAACACGAGATTACGCAGGGAAAAATGGCAAATAATGGTCAGGCGTGGCTCGGGGCGGAACCGATTAGGAACCACAGAGTGTAAATGATGCGATTGCCGTGACAAGATCATAGAGGCCACAACGACAATTCAATGCGCGCTGAGTGGTCGTGGCTTTGTCGTACGCGGATAAAAGAGGAGCGCAGAGTGGTAAGGGCTTTACGAGCCAGGGTTCAATTTAAGGGGAGCGCTACACAGGCGAGCGATTCTTAGGTAACACCAAGGTTTGTCGACCGCTTTGAATGAGAGTTCCACATCATTGAAGAGCTCGTAACAGGCCGTTCTGCACCAATTGCTGAGTGATTCCCCTTCCTGTCAGTTGTTGAAGGCAAGAACAAACTGCTGGAAGAGCATAAATAGCTGGCCGCGTGTCTTACAACCCCAACTCAGCCCCAGCATCTCCTGCAGAAAATCCTAAGCACGGCGGGCAGCTCTGCGGGGGCTCCACCGTTCAAATCCCAAGATAAACAGAAGTAACTTCACAAAGCAAGACAAAAAGCCTCAACTAACCTGCTTCGCGTCCACACCCACCCGGTAACCATACCCATCCTAGTACATCTGAAACCTATTCTTACCTTACTAATTGGTAGCTGTCTCGAGATCGATGCTCACTGGCGTGCACGAGGCCGATCTGCGGCCCCCGAGCAGGTAAGCCTTCGGTTATGGCTGTTGGTTTCAGTCGCTTTCAATGTTAGTCGCGGCCGTGACACTTTTGTCCTGGCTTCTACACTCTTCTTCTTGCCGATTCCTCGGCTCACCTGCGTGCACGACGGAGAGGCCGATCTGCGGTCCGCTGAGCGCGAGCAGCGCGTCGGTGACGGCCTGCGCGGTGCCCTGCATGTCCGCCTTCACCACCACCGCCAGCTCCCACCGCTCGCCCGCGCCCGCGCCCGCGCCCTCGCCCGCGGCCGCGTCGAGCAGCGACTGCAGCGTCGGCATGTTGACCTCGGAGAAGACGCGCGTCGTACGGCCCACCGCGGCCGCGGTCGCGCTGCGCAGCCGGGCCTGCTCCAACAGCTTCTCGCGCATGTCCTGCGGAGTCGGAAGGGGTGGGGTCAGTGTTACATGCTTCTGACGCGTAGAGGTTCAGAAAAGGATCGAGGGCCATGGAGAAGCGCAACCGAATGCGGCCAAGTGGCGTCCCAATCCCCACCCTGTCGACTGTGTAAGACATTTGTTAGGAGTTTGTGTGCTTATATCAGAACTGATGATTTCAGCATCGAGCCTCGTATTGCCGATTTCGTGCAGTTCAGTCCTCACAATGAGTCGAAGAAGAATCGCCGCTGAGGGCTGTGACCGGTTTGGATATTCACAGAGTTCTAGATCTAAAAGATGGTTCTAGTTGGTCAATGCTTGCCATCAGAATGAGAAACTCATTTTCCTCTTAAGAATACAGCGTACCACCGTTGGTCGACTCACGCTAACTGCTGCACTACACTCTACCATCCGAAGCGATTACAGATCGCCGGACCAACGTCAAATCGGCAAAACACATCTCTTGATTCTGCGAAGATGCGAGAAGCGCGGCCCCTCACCATGACAGTACTCTCACGGCGCCGCGCCTCCGCCTGCGCGGCTCTGCCCTCTGCAATTCTGCGCGCGCGCTCCTCAGTCGCGACGGCCAGCACCTCGTCCCCGGTCTCGGGCAGCCCCTTGAGCCCCAACACCTCCACCGGCTGCGCGGGGCCTGCTGACGTCACCAGCCGACCGCTAGGATCCCGCAGCGCGCGCACCTACATCAGACCCGACAAGCTTTGCATAAAGTTGATTTCGGCTTGCCTACGTGTCCCAGTTTTGTGTAACGTGTGCCGTCCGTTTGATCCCTCCTTTGCATGTCCTCGGCTACGTCGTCAACGTGCTAGCGTGGAAGCTGGGCGGAAGTTCTTGGGGGAAAGTGTGGGAACGCTCGCACAAGGAGGGGTGAGCATGGGCTTTCAATCTTCACCATATACTCTAATGAGGTACTTGAAGGGATCCGTAGTCGAAGGAGAAGGGCAGATTGAGAACAGGAGTGAGCCGCCATGCGCACCTTGCCCCAGAGCTGCCCGACCACGAGGTGCGTGCCCGGTGCCAGCTGGCCGCACTTGACGAGCACGGACGCGAGCGGGCCCTGCCCCTTGTCCTGGCGCGCCTCCAGAACCACGGCCTCCGCCTCGCGGGTGACGTCAGCGCGCAGGTCCATGAGGTCAGCCTGCAGCAGCAGCGCCTCCTCCAGGGACTGCAGGCCCTGGCGGGCCGTGGCAGAAACCTCCACCACCTAGGAGATGGAAAAGAGCGCCTCGTAAGTGAACGGGTCGCTTCAGAAAAGAGACAAGTGAACTTCCATGTATTTTGAAGGCATGGTCTAGCCGAGCTTCTAAGCGACTACCCTTTGCCACGGTTTATGGGTATCCATCGAGGTGAACATCCTTCCACAGGGTTACTCGCAATCAACTGTCATCTTGTGAACGTAGCTCGAGGGGAATATCCTTCCAAAGGGTCACTCGCGAGCGATTGCCATCTCGCGAACATAGGGTCGCTCTCTTCAGCTCAGTATTGCAAGGCGGCTCAAAGACTTGCCCGTCTTGAAAGCGGTCCTAGGAGAGAAGGCAGGACGGAGCCATTTCTTTCTGCTCTGCCCTGTCAGAGCGTCTCACAGTGCCAGCTCACCTGCACATCCCCCCCCACCTCCTCCAGCTCGAGCCCCTCCTCGAGCAGCTGTCGGCGCACCCTCGCCGGATCCGCGCCCGGCTTGTCGCACTTGTTGATCGCCACCACAATCGCCACTTTGGCCTCCCGTGCGTGCGCCAAGGCTTCCCGCGTCTGCGGCATCACTCCGTCATCGGCCGCCACCACCAGGATGACGATGTCGGTTACGGCGGCCCCGCGCGAGCGCATGGCGGAGAAAGCGGCATGGCCGGGAGTGTCCAAAAACGTGAGCTCAGCGCCGCCGGGCATGCGCACTACGAAGGCGCCCAGGTGCTGCGTGATGCCGCCAGCCTCGCCAGCAGCCACTGAGGTGGACCTAAGAGGGGGCAATTGCGGAGAAAAACTCTCTTACGACAGCTTCTTCATGGTCTACTCTTTTCGCGATTTTGTTTTCAAAGTTCCTCCAGTACATCCCGCTCTTTAGCTCTTTGAATCCCCCCTAGCTTCTGGAGTGATTCTTCAGATGGAGGCTTCAAAGAATCTATTTGGTGGAAGTGGCAGATCAAGGAGCGCAGCCAACAATTATCCCACGGAGATGCAGCGAGCTATTATCGATAGCGAAGAGAGCGCCTATGACATGACCTGCCCTGATACACTGCAACAGCAAACACTGAAAATTTTAACTGACTTCAGCACGTCACTACTTGTTGAGCCCTTCAAACCAATTGGACAACAATCGCAAACAGCCGTAATCTTCCCAAACTCTCATTCACCATTCCAAAGATGCAGGAATTGGGCCTTCAGAGCGTTCATTCTCATGGGGCAAGTCCCACCAAGAGCTCAGCGCAACCCCGGCTCAGCTCACCTGAGGGCGTCCAGCAGGGACGTCTTGCCGTGGTCCACATGCCCCATGACCGTGATAATGGGCGGCCGCTTGGGCCAGCTGCTGGCGGCCGCCCCCTTCTTGGCGCTCCCCCGCGCGTCCTCCCATGCGCGCTTCCCCCGCTTGATCACCTTGCCCAGCTCCAGCGCCACTAGCTCCGCTGAGTCCAGCGGCACGCTGTCAAACGGCTTCAAGTCCCCGTCCCCCAGCGCCGACAGCGTGCTCAGGATCACGTCCTGCTTCTCACTCAGGAGGCCCGCCAGCTGGCGCACCGTCACACCATCGGGAACGACGATCTCCTTGGGCACAAAAACCCGCTTCAGATCTCGCACGCTCGGGACATACTGCTTCTCAGTGGGCACCTCGAGTTTGGAAGTCTGGACCTGCTGTGAGCGGCGCAAGGGTGGGGGACGCGGGGGGCCGTCTTCTCGGGCATACGGCCGCTGATTGGTGCGTGGCCGGAAGGCATAGAAGCGCTGAAACTGTGTCCATAGAGGATTCAAGATGGGACTGGATGAGTTGGGAAATCGCTGGCCGGAAACTTGGGTTCCTCTGATTGATGGTTTTTGATGTACCACAATAGCCTGACAGGCATCCTCAGCGCCTAAAGAGACAGCTGGCGCAGCTGCAGAGATTCTCAGGGGGTGGGTCTCATACGATGATGAAGCTACCGACGCAACCTCCCAGCAGCTTGAAGTGGTGGTTGAGCCAGACGGGCTGCAACTCGCTTGTTCCAGATCAATGTTTCCATCGGATCTCCCACCTTCCAATGCTGGGAACCCAATTTTGTGCCGCTCAGGCAGAAAATTGTGGTGAAGTATCCGGGCAAACGCAATGATGGAGTGGTGGTAGAGCCACCCCGACAACCCTGGCTGTCCTGCTGCCGACGCCTCCCAGACGCCCTGCAAAGGGGGCAGCCGGTGCGACCTCAACATCGTGTCAGCATGGAGGTGGCAGCCAGAATTGGCAGCGAAAAAACGCTGGCTAGAAGTTGATGCTGATCAGCCGCTGGCACACCACCAGAAACGCCGCTTCTCACGCTCTGCTGAGGTACCGTAATCCACCACGTACTGGCACAATTGAACTTGAAGGCCCATGCCATGGCACTCACACACACACTCGATATGGGTGAGATCTGGGAAATCCCATGCCGGCACAACTTCGGGGGTACGTATTATCCTCCAAAATGCAGGCGACCACACAGTCGAAGGGCTCATATTTAGCAGAACCGTCACTATTAAGTGGACCGTTACCAGCATGCAACATCACGGATCTGAAATCGGCAGCTCCAGCTACGTGGAAACAGAGCTATTGCAAGCGAGCGTAGAAACGGCGTAATCCCCGGCACCGGGCACTCTCAAAGTGCGGATGGTCGCTGTTCATGGGGTCTGTGGCCAAATTACCCACATGTACCGTATGCAACTTGCAAGCGAGGCGCTGGCGCTTGCCCTGGACAATTTGCTGGCCCCATGGGGTGGACTTCAGTGGAGCGCTGAGCTCATGCCCCTCACCTGAGTCTAGCTTCCCTGTTCATACACTGATACAGCTCGTAGATTGAGAACTCAACAGCAAACTTGACAGCACGTCCTGGTTTCACCGTTGGTTATCAATCTGCATGGCCACAAGCGTGGGCCACAAGAATGGCCCGCCCACTGGCTCTTGCCAGCAGCATCCTCGTAGGAGCTGTGGCGATCACAGCATGCCTTGTTTACAGCATGCTGGGCAGCTGTACGCTGGAGATTGCGCCAGCTGGCGCTTCTGGGCCCGTCCCCATCCTTTTGGTGACGGCCCACCCTGACGATGAGGCCATGTTCTTTGCCCCCTCGCTGCTAGCGGTGGCGCGCGCAAACTGCTGCCGGGTATTCATTCTGTGCCTCTCCAATGGTGAGCAATCTGCAATCTGTGATGTGTTCCTCAAAAGCATGAAGCTGTTGAAAGTCATAAACAGGAGGGTGCTTTCTTTGTTTACCGCTTGGCACGCGCAGAATGAAAGTACATTCTAATGCTTTTCCAGGCAGTTGTTCTTGTTCAAGAAGGGGGCCTCTTGACTAATGTGGTCCTCGAATTTGAACGCCCTCCAATTGCCCTTCAAACAAGCTGTGACGAAGTGTCAACGCCCTTCTTTGTTGCTGATTGCCGCACTCCTTTCTACGTGCATCTGCAGGGAACGCGGATGGCCTGGGGCCCTTGCGAGCGGTAGAGCTCCTGGCAGCTGCCCCCCTGCTCGGAGTGCAACCCACCGATGTGAGTGTGGTGGACGACCCAGGCCTGCAGGACGGCAAGAAGCAGCGCTGGGACCAGGCCACCGCACGCCAGCTCATCAGGACAGCCATCCAGGAACATGGCGTTCAGATGGTGCTCACGTTTGATGGGGATGGAGTTTCAGGGCACCCAAACCACAAGGCAGTACATGAAGCAGTCAGGTGGGCCTCACCACCTTGCAAGGCTGTGGGCTGTGGAAGACGAACAACATGTCAAATATTGTCCTCCGAACTGCTGACAGAAGTGGCAGGTCTAGATTTGACAAAAGCGAATGTTGTTGTTGAGTACTCCTGTAGGTTTGAAGATCGAAATCGTCTAGGATGTAAAGCGGCAAGACATTTCAAGGGGCATTTTTAAACATTCCATTGTTCCATTGTTCCAAAGTCGATCCTGGCTGAACTGAGTGATCTGGTTCCGTGTTCCCACCAGATTGAGGGACAAGTTCGTACTCTTTCGTGCAGGGCAGTGGCGCAGGAGGCTCCTGCCGCGACGCCAGTGCGTTACTGGGAGTTGTTGAGCATGGGCGTCGTGCGCAAGTTTTTGGGCCCACTGGACGTGGCCTTCTCGATCTTTGAATGCCAAACGCTGCACCGGATGGGCGGGGGCTGCTGCATCGAGGGGGCCGCTGCAGCAAGTGCAGCCAGCATGAGGCAACATGCCTCACAGAACGTCTGGTTCCGGCGCTGGTTTGTGCTTCTGTCGCGATACTCTTACATCAATTCTTGGCGACCAATCATGATAGAGAGCGAGTCCCTAGATAGTGAGAGCTAGGGCCAGAACGGGTCGCAATAAACACCATTACAATTGCCGTACATTCTTTATCGCAGCACTCCAGGTATCACTCAAAATCAGGCAGCCAGGCTCCGTCGCCGCGCGAGCGCCGCGGTCTGGCGGCATTTTCTCTTTGTTGATTGACCTAGCTCGAACCTGTTGGTAAGCCTAGCGACTGTCGATCGTTGCAATGTGCTCAATTAATATAGAGGTCCAGATGCCAGAGCATCATTATTCCCACATAGATCGGAGCGGCATTGTATAGCTTCCATGGATTGCATGCCAGATCCAGCAAAGCTGGACCGGACTGAACATTGGAGGCGGAATCGTATTTGAGGCCAATATCACAAATGTTGTTCGAATATCGCGAAACTATAGTTCTCTCATGTACTAGGTCCAACTCGATGCACACTGATCCGACCGGGAACTTGAATTCACTGTCTGGCATGTTCAATGTATTGATTGATCAATCATGTTTGATAAATTGATGGATCAATCAATTGTATATTGCATATGAACATATCGATCAGTCATGTTCAATTCTCATGTTACGTCTGATGAGTCAGCCCGTACGTGTACGTATATAACGCGATATCGGATAGACTCAATACCCATCATGCAGCGTGATGCAAACCGTCATCTATAGCGGAGTGCCGACCTCGGTGCGGTGCATGACAGGGCGCGTGGCGGCGCGCGCTCGAATCACACAAACAGCTTAAGTAGTTCCGATCTAGCCGCCAATGACTACCTTATGCCGCTTCCCCAAATGCGCAGCCTGTACATGCCAATCAGCACACAATATGATCCATGTACACAGCACACACATACCCATTCCCGCGCATATGTGGGGCCGTCTTACTAGTTTACCGTTTGTAAGATCCGATAGGGCTAAAGAACTTATAGGCGGCACACGTGGAACTACCGTTCTGCATGACGCACACAAACAAAGAACGAAGACTTCACACAGCTTTAGACTTCACGCCAGTACACAGCCGGGACAATACCCTTTGAACCACTCGAGCATCCCTTGGGAAGCTCAAATGATAAGTCCCCGCTTGAAATCCGGATTTTCGTTCGCAACATCCCTCAGTGTTCTGTTGCAAACCTCTGGCAGTCATTGTGCACTCCCGGTCAAAGGGTGCCTACGACAGCCTCACCTCCTCTTCTTCGACTTTTTCTTTTTCGATTTGGCCCCCGGCCCTTTCCTCGCCCGTTTCCTCGAGTCTCCCTCAAAATCGTCCCCCATACTCTTCCGTTTCCCCGACCGGCCTTCTCGTACCGGATTCCCCGCCTCTTTCTTAATATACAACACTCCGCCACGGAACGTGCCGTCCGAGGCTTTGAGACCCCGGTCCCCTTCCCTCCGCTTCTCGTGCTTGGCTGCCCGCCGCTTGGCCGCGCCGCTCCCCTTGACGCGCACCATGCCGCTCGCCACGTCCTGTGCACCGCAACACCGCGGGCATCAGCTTGGAGAAGCACACAACATGGACGGGCCGCAACCAAGCTGGTCAGGATCGAGGGCCGGCAAGCAACGTTTCGAAACGGCAAAGTTGGTATGGCCATACACCAGTCGACGGCCGACAACACACTGCCACCATTCTTTTGGTGCGGCACCTGTCTGCGTGTCAACGAGACAGTCCTCCCCAGCCTCGCATTTTTAAGGAATCCCAAGAACCGCAGTGAGTGAGTTTAGGCGAAGCGGCATAACTCGTCGGAAGGTTGCGGTATTGATCCACCTCGGCATCGAAGCTGACCACTGTGACGGGAGTCAACACAAAGTGCTTGTATGCCCGGACGAACAAAAGGGTGCATCCCAGGCTACTTGGCGGGCAAAAAGGTATGCTGTCCAATCGCCGTCTTGCGTACCTCTTCAAACGCTTTCGCCTCCCTCTCCTTGCGCTTCTTCTCGATCCCGGACCCAATCGTCAGCGGCATGCGAGGACTCTTCGCCGGCTGCAAGGTGGTCCAGCAAAGATGCGAAACGTTCAAGGTTGGCGTAATTGAGCAGACTTTTCGGCGTTCGCACTGCCCTTTTAAGCCGGGACTTGTCCCACTGGGGGCTTGCCGATAGCTCCTCGTAGCCTTTCTGCAGCAAGTTGGGTGAAGCTTCGGGTGTCGTCTTTTTTGAGAACGGGTGACTCTCCACTTGCAGAGATAGACATTATCAACGGAGGGCACAGTGCCCAGTCGTGTTCACAGACCATAACGTCAGCCGTCAGAAGAAGCAAGCGCATATTTTGTCCGTGCATTCCCATCCTGCATTCGTCTCGACAAAAACTGTGGCAAAGCAAACCAGGGCTGCTGGATATGTAAGCTGCCCAGCCCTAATAGAATCCAACGTGGTTCAACATTCTATAACCACTGAGATGGCTGGAACTCCTTTTCGAATGGGATCTTCGAGTATCAAAACCTGTCTCTTTTCCTTTCTTGAGAATGGAGCAGTCACAATTGACCTTGTCGTTGTCCGACACATCGAATTCTCGCTCTCCTATTGCACAGTTCAACCCATCCTCGAACATAAAAGCCCCCCTTTCGTGTGCCCCACCTTGGCCCCCATCTGCTGCAGCGCGCGCGCCTCCCACTTCTTCTTCTCGTGCTTGTCCAGGTGCGCTGCCCCCAGCAGCTCCACCTCGCGCGCCATCCGCTGGAACTCCGCACTGCCCAGCAGAGCCTCCTCGTCGCTGTCCCCTGCCGCAGCGCCGCGGCCCCCCTCTCGCAACACGTCCGCAACCCGGGGAGACTGGAGAACAGAGCGAGGCTGACTTAGTGATGGAATTGACTTTGAGGATAGTGGGCTTTCAAATCTTCGTACGTCGGGGTGGCAGTGCTGAACGAGCTCTTGAGAAAGCAAGTCTTTTTCTGATCACAGTGCATAAGGTAGGCTTCTCCACATGGTTGCTGATCTGGTGAATTGAGTCCCACAGTCATTTCAGGTTGACATGGGGCCTGTGACTTCTGCCTTCGAACTGTGGGGAGAGGGGTACGCTCAACTTCCGTTTCCCATACCAATATTCTCTCGGAACAATTGAATCTTTGAAAGCAATATTAACCTTCGAATTCTACACCAAGAGCTCGTTGAGTGTTCCACGCGTTGCCCCCAACCCCCATCTGCCAACACATGTATTGTAGTGCGAGCAAGTGCGCCCTCACTCCTCGCAGAATGATCGTTTCCCCAATACCTGACTCTCCCACCCGGGTCTAATAAGGACAAGCTCCCCTTGGAGAAAGCAAGGGGAGGTTCGGCTGAGCCCCAGGTGTTGGGGCCCCCGGGCTCTCACCAGGAAGTTGCGGCGGTCCCGCCTGCCGGCCCTTGGCGTGCTGCTCCCCACCCCTCCATCAAACACCACCACCGGCGCCTGCCGCAGAGTCCCCCGCTGGGCGCCCTCCTCGTCCTCCTCCTCCTCCTCGCCACTTGTGGTGGCGGCATCATCTGGCAAAAGCAAGCGCAATGGAGATTTCCAGCTTGCGATGGTGGTCGTCTCAAATGTTCAAGCTGATCAGAACTGACCACTGTCTGCGAACAGGTGTGGCAAGGGCGCCAGGCAAACTTGGCAGTAAAGCGTCTCTATGATGGGCGGCACTCACCTTGCTCCACTGTGCGGGACGCGGGACCGCTGCTTGGCTCATGCGCCTGCAGAGTCACCAATTTTGTGCATGAATTTGACAGGCACACAACTCTCAACCAATCAGCAGGGCACCGAGTCTGTGGTCAGAAAGTGGAGTTGGTAAGCACTAAGAATTAGCACGCGTGCGAAGGCACAGGGCTTCCGACACGGGAGAAATTGACACAATGGCCATTCACAATCAATCTTGAGCAACACTGCATGCGCCCGCTGAAAAGCTTGGCCAATTGTGCATTCCAATCGAAGATATGCAGATGGGGAGTGATTGGTGCGAAGAAACTTGCCGGACGCCCAGTGTCGCTGTCACTGTCATCAAACATCCTCATAAATTCTTCCCCTGCATTGCCAAGATGAGCAGGGACATGAATCAGCTTGTAATCAATGGTAGCAGCAGAATCAACCGGCAAGAGCCAGACGTCTGATGGTAAGCAACAACAGGGGCAGCAAGTCTAAGCTGATGCCCAGCGCCCCTGCAAGGCAGCAATCAGATGTACGAGGGGTGGGAGCTCAGAATCACAGTGAAGGAGGTGTTGAAAAGGCTCAAAGGTCAAAAAAGACGAAAAAACTCACCATATTTCTCCAGCCGCAACTCCACCTTCCCAGCTTCTTCTACAATAGCCATAGCGCCCATGCCAATCAAATTACCACAGCCTGATAAGATTACCCACTGTAACTAGCATTGATTTTCTCTTCAGACCGACTTTGACCTACGGTGTGTGCCTCTTCGACCTCTTCAACAGCGTCTCCCACTGTTCCAGCTACTAGGGCCAATGGCAAGGGCGCCCCAGGGCCAAGGGGACCCAATGCTGGCGTTGGCAACTTGAAGGCCCAACTTTGAAGGCCAACCTTGAACCTGAAGTTGAAGGTTTTCTAGGGTTCCCCTCGGGTTCCTCAGGCTGGGGTGGGCAAATGGAGGATTCCCACCAGATTCCTCAAATCTGACGACTGAAATACCATTACCGGCAGGTTTCGGACCCGAGCAGCCGTTACCATCATAGACTGAGAGATTCGCTACCCCAAGAGCATGTGCAGGTATCATGAATTTGTATCTCCGCTTGCAAATGTGGATCTAGCACTGGGTTGCGCATTTCCTCAAAGCTGCTCCTCGGGCCGCTTGCAAGCCGCTTCCGTTCAGCACCTTTACGGCGTGTGCATGCGACGGGCGTGTCCCCTTGCGCAGCCGTGATTGGCCTGCCCCTTGGCTTTCGACTCAGCTGAGCGGGCGCGATGTCGGTCCCAGCGTTGATGAGGAGGCGTGGCGCAGGGCGGCTGATCGCGTATGATCCCGCTGAAGTCCCGAAAGGGGGTTCTGCAGTTGTTGCCTCGTGTGCAACACCTGTGAAAAGGCTGGGGCAAGAACCAGCGGGCCACAGCTTCCATGCAGCGGTTTTGAAGTATGTGGAAAAACCAGGAGAGGAGGGAGATGGGGAACCGTTACCAGAGGAGGAGGATGCCAAGCTGGATGATCCGGCGCATGTGCACCCATCTTCCTGGGAGGGCACCAAGAAGAAAAAGGGGTCGAAGGGCGGCGAGGAGCAGCACGACCATTACCAACTGCTAGGGTTGGGCCACCTGCGGTACCTGGCCAATGATGACCAGATCAAGAAGGCATACCGGGCAACATCGCTGAAGCACCACCCCGACAAGCAGGCGGCAGTGCTGCTGGACCTGGGCAGCGAGGAGGAGAAGGATGCCAAGCGTGAGGAGCTGGACAATCACTTTAAGCTCATCCAGGAGGCATACGAGGTGCTCACGGACCCCGCCAAGCGGCGCCTGTTTGACTCCATCGATGAGTTTGACGATGACATTCCGGATGCTTGCGAGCCCAAGGACTTCTACAAGGTGTACGGCCCCGTCTTCCAGCGCAACAGCCGCTGGTCGCTGCAGCAGCCCTGCCCACTGCTGGGCGACGACGCCACGCCGCACGCGCAAGTGGATGCCTTCTATGACTTCTGGTTCCTGTTCAAGAGCTGGCGCGAGTTTCCGCAGGAGGACGAGTACGAGCTGGACCAGGCAGAGGGGCGCGAGCACAAGCGCTGGATGGAGAGGCAGAATGCGAAGCTACGGGAAAAGTGAGCACGCCCCTCTACCTGGCGTTGGCAGTTTCTCCTTATTGATGGTTGATTAGGGTTGCCTAATCTAGATCAGGCCATTTAGTGCCGCCCGCCGATCAGGCCAGGTCGTGCCGCCCGCCGACAACATGTAAGGGCAGGCGCAACGGTGGATTTATGGTTGTGACAGGGTGGGGAGGATCTGAGCAGAAAGGGGGGATCTTGAGGCTGGGTTTTAGTATCGGGTATCGGGTGCTTCCGTTGCCACCACCCTTAGGGTGTGGCTGCTCGCAGGTGGTTGTTCTGCATTCTCTCTTAGTCCGAAATGTGGCTTGGCATGAATGCACTGTACCATCTATAGTTGATTGTTCAAGGCAGGAGCCCGGAACAGTTTTTGATATCAAGCCTTTTGCTTCGATGTGCAGGGCTAAAAAGGAGGAAGTTTCCCGGATCCGTGAGTTGGTTGAGAATGCTTACAAGCGAGACCCGCGAGTTGCGCGCATGAAGGAGGAGGAAAAGAAGGAGAAGCAAAAGAAGAAGTTGGCCAAGCAGGCCTCGAAAAGGGCAGCAGAGGAGGTCAGCTTGCACACCTCTCCTCTGATACACCAATTCGCGCATCGGCCAGCCCCCTCAGTAATCTCCATCAAACATTACCATGCTCTCAGAATGATCTGAGATATGAGAAACGGCATCCATTTTATTGCGGCGTGGTGCTTGAATCCTACAAAGCTTGGTATTCAACATTGAGCAACTTGACAATCAGTTCTGTACTATGCAACAAAGTTGGGTTCAACAGCATCACAGATGGGGACAAGTCCCTGCCTGGCGATGCTTTCCTCTTTCTGCTGCCTCTAGTGACAGCAGTCCTCTTTGACGATCATCGAAAGCAGCCTAACAAATGTACACACAGGGCCTACACATTAAGGGGACATCAGGTTCATCTGCACAGTCGGTTGACAAGCGCAGTGCGATACTCCCCTCTGCCACCACCCTGACGTGGTTCTGTTGCCTGGTGCCAGGAGGCGGCTCGAAAGGTGGAAGAGGAGCGGTTGGCCAAGGAGGCTGCAGAGGCGGCCGCGGCGGAGGCGGCGCGGGAGGAGAAGAAGCAGCGTGAGAAGGACAAGAAGCTGGTGCGCAAGGAGCGGCAGCGCCTCCGGGCGGCCGCGGGGGAGCTGGCGGGGGCGGGCAAGAAAGTGACGGCGGAGGAGCTGGAGGAGCTGCTCACAGGGTTTGACCTCCTGGGGCTGCGGCGGGTGTGCGATGAGGTGGAGGCGGCGGGGAGCGACGAGGGCAAGGGGGTGGCGCTGCGGCGAGGCGTGCAGAGGCTCAGAGACCCGCAGGCAGTGCACGACGAGCCGGCGGCGGCAGGGCTAAGCGCGGCGCCAGCGGCAGAGGGCAAGGAAACGGGGGCAGGGACGTCGGGCAAGGGTGAGGGGATGGTTTCATGTTTTGCAATTGAGCTGGTATGAAGCACTTTCGTTCTTCGTTCGTTTTCTTGGAGAGTAGCTTGTGTGGGAAGGATGCTGTTGGATTCGTATGATTAGAGTTGTATCAACTTGCCCAATGAATGGGAGCACCATGGGGAAGCCGCGTACCTGGCATAGTTTGTTCTGCTGGTTGCTATGATCGAAACACGGAAAGCAGGGAGACAAGAAAGCTGCTGGATTTGGATGGAAACTTCTTGAATTGATTATATTTAAAGGTCGGAGTTTGAAGTTGAGGTATGTGACCAATCTTTAGAAATTTGGAAGGGGCCGCAGATGATGCGTTCATTTGAAGTGAAATGTGTGGTGTCAATGTGACATGCTTCCCACTTGTAGTAGACTGACCTTGTAAGCGGGCCTTACAATCAGATATCGTCTTTCGCATATGGGCGTGGATCAGGCGATCAGCAATCAGCAAGTGGACTTCGATGGCTCGAAGAGGCTGCAATTGAATTGGTGAATATGGGACACCTTGCCTACAGGCGGTGAGAGCCCTGGTGGCAAGGCTGCAGGCCAGTCTGCGGGAGGCGCCAAGGCGGCGGCGAACACTGCGTCGCGCCCCTGGAGCAGCCAGGAGACGGCGCTGCTGAAGAAGGCGCTGCTCAAGTACCCTCGCGGGACGCGCAACCGGTGGGAGGTGGTGGCCAGCATGTGCGGGCGGAGCGTGGACGAGGTGATTGCCACGCAGAAGAACGAGCTGCAGAAGAAGCCCGAGGACGACAAGGCCTTCCTGGCCTTCCTCGAGCAACGGAAAGCGCCGCCCGAAATAAAGTCGCCCCTTACAGACAGGGCCGACGTGGGCGACGCGCCAAAAAGTGGGGTGGAAAATGGGGAGAAAGCTGGGGGGGGACAAACGGCCAACGGGGGTGCGAGCGCTGCGAACGGAGCTGCTGCAAGTGACGACGCGTGGTCGGAGGGGCAGGAAGTGGCGCTGGTGAAGGCTCTGAAAGCGTTTCCCAAGGAGACACCGGCGCGGTGGGAGCGCATCATGCAGGCAGTGCCGGGGAAGACCAAGGCGCAGTGCTTCAAAAAGTTCCAGACGATGAGGGAAAGCTTCCGAGCCAAAAAGGCGGAAGGCGAGTAACCTTGACGGCGTTGCTTTGCGCTTCACCATAGACAGTCTGTCAGGTAGTAGGGGGCAGGGGCAGGGGAACACATTGGAAGATGCACAACAGAAATTGGAATGGCAAATATTTACACAGGACCAGTTCAGGTACGTCCCCTGATGGCCTCTTCAAGAGTAGGTCGACGCATGCTGAGCATTCATTTCTTCTGCAATAACCAGGTTCAATAAAGGAGGAGCACATGACTATTTTTGCCGATGGCAGCAATTGTTTAAGCACCTTAGGCTGAGGAGCAGATCGTTGCTGAGAGGAGAAGCCACGCATCAAGAAGCCATTATCACGACCATTGTAACATTGCTGTGCTCTCACATTTTTAGATTGTTTGATCAGCTCTGCCAGGTTACGCTCTTTGCAAGGTTCGGCCTGTCTTTGAATATTTTTCCTGCGTCACTGCCTTGTCACTCTGCCCGGGGCATTGACTCAGTGATGAGCGCTGTAAGTTATGTTGTGTGGGAAGGCCCTGATTGTAGCTAGTGGGAGTGATGCGTGCAATAGCTTGAGACACTGAGTCGGAGGTCATCAGCTAGGACTAGAAGCGTCCATGTATGCATTCCCGGAGATGCATACTAATAGCAGGCCCGCTAGTTGTCCGTCCGAGATCTAATAACTATCATGCGCGGCCAGCTGCATTGCAGCACTGACATCTATTAAGTTGGAGGCTTGCGCTCGGCCGAAAGCTATATATCTAGGCTGGGCCCCTGGCCCGCCGCCACTGCGGCATGCGGTAGAGCTAGCTCAGTATGTGCGTTGCTACATGCAATCGATGTTCGTAGCTCGGATTATATATATGCATGTGCATGTCTATGTACATATACGTGTGCGGGAATTAAGCTAGGCCCGATCCACCTGCTTGGTATACTCGAGCACATGTAAAATGCATAGGATGCATTGCGGCCGTCGCCCTGTATCATCATAAAATAACAAATCTGTAAGAATTCCGATTCTAGGCAATTTGACGTTGAACTGTATACTTCATTATGATCATTTGAAGTATATACATTCGACAGGCCGGATGTGGGTCGCCAGGCCAGATCTGGCACTGAATTAGCGGGCGTGCCAGGTGCGTGCACTCCAATGGGAATGGTGGCGCCGCGGGCCAGCTTACTCAGACGGTCTGACACACAGTTTCGGTCAGGAATCACAAACGGGTCCAAACATCAGTTGAGACGCTGGACTCAGTAAATATGGACGCAGTGACAGTCGGAATGCCAACTTGTACCAGCGCCCGGTTGCTTGGCCCTTGCCGCAGAGACGGCTCCAAATAATTGGAATCTAGTGCGCTCGCAAGTAAATGTATGACCGCACAAATTGCTAGACTGCACTATGCCTGTGGGCTCTGGGATCAATATCACGAATGTCTTCGGTCGTTTTAGATTCAACATAGTGTACAATTGGCTGTACAAAGGGCGCTCATCTAGTGTACAGGTTGTTGACTGGTCGGTTTTCATCTGGTGAATGCACCCGCTCAGACCAGAGGGGCTGCTTCTCAGGTGCCAAGCGCTGCGAGTAGGTCGCACCTGAGCGGTGTGGCCGGCCCACCGTGCAGAAGCGATCGAAAACAATGCGGCCCCCCCGGCCTATTCGTGCCCGACACCTCAAGCGTGTGTTCAATCCATCGGCCTCCGGCAGATTGATGCCCACGGCTTGCAGGTGCGTCAGGTTCAAGGGTTGAGCGAACAGCAGCGGGTGCTCCAGCGGCTCCACCGGCGCCAGGGCCCCGATCTGCAAGCAGACGACATCCGCACTGGTCGGAGGTCTGGAAGTACGGGTAGTCGCGTCCATACTGATATGTGGGAAGCAAAGAGCGCCAACTGATAGAGTCGAAGCAGATCAACAGGTTAATCTGGATACACCTCTGCTCTGTCCACGTGTTTTCCCCACCTTTCTGATACCGCCCTTGCCCTTGCCATGCTGGCTCTTCCGTCGCTTGCGCTTCTTGGCCCTGGCCGGGTCTGCCAGCCCGTCTGCGTCGGCCAGCCCGTCCAGGTCGAGCGGCAGCCGCGGGCGCCAGAGGTCGTCGGGCGGCAGGTGGCCGCCGTCGTGGTCGTACGCCGCGCGCATCGCGTTGTCGATGTGGGAGTTGCGGATGCGGATCTTCTGCACCCGCGGCTGCAGCATGGCGCTCAGGGACAGGTCCTCGTTGTCCGCGTCCGGGTCATGCTGCGGGAAGGACGGGACCGCGGGCGTCAGCGACCGGCAGCAACGGCAGCACAGCCTCGTGTTCCGTCTCACCATCGGCCTCTACTCATCTCTTGAGGAGAAGTGGGGATGAAACAGCAATTTCCGAAGTTCTCACAACTCGCCTCCGTAAAGGGCGTTAGTGATACTCACCCGTTGCCGCATCTGGAGTCGCTGGACGTGCATCTCGCACTCCGTCAACTCCCGCTTCTTCTTCTCACGCTGTAGCCAAAAGTGTGACTCAGGTGAGCTCTCCGATTGGAGGAACGACGCAAAAAGAGGTACACAGTACAGACAACCGAGTGAAATGCGCCTGCCAACGTCTGAAGGACTTGCAAAGAGAAGGGCGAGCTGTACCTTTTGAATAGCAGTCAGAAGAGACCTGGCCGCCTTGAGGTTGTTTTTCATCTGCACGGACCCGGAAGCAGAGTAAGATGCAGTGTTGAGCAACGAGATGAGGGTGCTATACGGCAGCAAACAACGAGCCATGACTGTCTCCTCATGTGATGGACGGCTCGAACACAACGCCTAAATATCAACACAACCTTGTCCTAATCCTGCGGGCTCAATAAGTTGAGGAGAGGGAGATCGGTTACCTCGAGCATCTTTTCATAGGAGGGTAGATCGTTTTCATGCCGCTGCATCTGCGCACACAACAGAGATACGTTTTCGGGCAGGACCCAACAGTATTGTTTGAGACGCATTCGGCTAAAATGAAAGACCTTTGAAGGCATCAGTGGAAGGTACGTTGCTGACCTAGCCCAGGCGTACTTTGAGCGAAGAGTCACTTCGAAGGCAGCTTATGAGATCTATGCTTGCTAAATAAGATTCGTAAGTTGTCGGGGTTGGCTTACCCTGCGGGTATGTGGTCGGTGAACCCTCTCCCTCGGCCGGAAGACGTTGAAGGGATTCTGATCCGTGACAGAGGGAGGGGGCTGCCAAAAATATTGCAAAGCATGTCAGGTTCTTGCAATTTGAAAAGGGTGAGGATCTGCACAACTGCGAAAAGTCGACCAGCGCAACCAGTCTGCTCTGGCGAAGCCACAAAGTCAGACTCACACCGTCAATCTTCATTAGGTCATGTTCTGAGATATAGTGAGTCCAACTGGGCCTACCTGGAGGCGCCGCAAAATCGGCTTGTTCCATCTCTCCCTCTGCACAATGATGGCAGATGTCAGCAGCGTAACCAGGAGGTCAATTGCCAAGTCAGTACAAGTTAATGATCGATTGGCCTGTGCAGAGTAAGATCCTGAAAGTGCGTTGACGGGATTGCTGAGGATAAATCAAGCAGGTAAGCAGATGAACACGGACCTTGTCCTTCCAGTATTCGTAGACTGCACAAAGGATGGCTGGCCGGGAGCCGCCCTCGCTCTGCCGCAAAGTCTGCGCATAAAGCAAGGAAGATCAGGATGCTTCTGAAATCTTGCAGAGCCCTGACAAATTCCATGCTCAACAGAAGTCGTCACTATTTGCAGGTTCGACGAGTTGAGGTCTGCTGCAGGAACAGGACATCTTTACAACTCTCATTGACTCAACCTAAGAAGTAGATGCCAGGCACTTTTACACAGTAGGCGTTTCAACATACCTCAAGGGCCATCTCTTGGGTCGGCAGCGGAGCATTGGGTACCCCTACTTGAACCCCAGCTTTCTCCTGGAACTTTGCAGCACCTATCTCCAACCGATACAACATCGCTTCGAACCTGCGACAGCATTGCGCCCTCGTTACTCAATTGTAAGTCAGCGCACAAATCTGCTGTACAGCACTTGAAGAACAGCACATTTGAGGACACTGCCTGCGAGGAGGTGCTAGCTGTGTTGCTGAACTCACTTTTCAGGAGCGAGCAGTCTCCGTCTCTGGTTGAACACTCCCAGCCAGTCCTCGTCCTCATCATCCAGATCATATTCCACGAATGTCTCTGTCTCTGATCGCGCTGCAGAGGCAAGGGGCAACAGGAAGCTATTAACTCGCAAGACAATCCACAAGCTGACTGCCTGAGACACATCGCTGTCACCAGGAGAGGGGGATAAAACAGTCACAATATCTTACACTTGACCTGCCATAAGGACCTAAGCATCCTCAAAAAGGGACAAAGTAGCACCACGTCCTGAGCGACGAGTACCTGGCTTGCTCCTGATGTAGGACTGCGGCTGCTTGAAGGTCGGTGTGTAGTCAGTTTCATATGAGGGCACCGTCAGCACGTCCGGGACAGGGATCTCACTGACGCCCTTGGAGTTGCTGGTCTTCAAAACCTGAAGCACAGTTGACAGCGACTGAGGCGTATCAAACCTGCTACCACCTTCCAAATGTTGGGGTCCATAGCCTCTTTTGACGTAAAGGCTCCACTTAATCTTTCTCATGAAACTGCACCAAGACTGGGGATCGATCTAATCCGCCATGGTGGAACGCCCAGGGCACAAAGCTGGAGCAGAAGCACACATCATGATAAAAACGGCCTTTGAGAGGGCACTGATTTGGGGGAAAGTTTGAGTGACGCCGCATCCCTGGAAATCAAGCCAAGCCCCAAGGGCTACACAGAGTGACACTCACCTCTTCGTTTTCTGCATCCAGGGTGATGTGTGAGTGGTGGACAGAGCGCGATACCAGCGCTTCATCATTGTCCAACTCTGAGAGCGAGCGCACCAAGGGCAGCTGCCGGCCAGTGTCCAAAGGCCGCGGCCGAAAGGACGTCCGATTGGACATGGCTCAGAACCCTAATAGATCGCTGGCTCCTGGTTACAGAAGCAGCAATCTGCACACCTGTCCCCGGGCTATGAGCATTGCTCAATTTGCCGACGCATAGAGCAGAACCTTTTACGGCCGCCCACGCTGTCACAAATGATGCCCGTCATCATCGGCGCCACTTTGTACCAGGCTGTGCATAAGAGCAATTCAGGCTGCCCCAAATGAATAGCTTTCACTGAATCTTGAAGCAAACAAGATCATCCTCACATTGACGAGTTGGTTGTGAGGAAGGTGGAAGAGCTTTTTGGCTTGCACCCATGTCCTTCTTCAACTTCTTGAAGTTGAAGGCGAGCTAGCCGCCGGCGCTATGCAGCTTGCCGCTATCACAACGCAACCACGCTACAATTTTACGTACGGTGAATTCTGCGCGGCGGGCGAATTTTGGACCTCCGAGTCACGGCGAAGTCTAAAATGGCCATTTTTAGGATTTTAGGGTTTGCCTTAATTTAGGCACTTCTGCACATAATTTGGAGCTCAAAATTGGTATATAGGCTTATTACGAGCAGTCGAACATTGTATTAGGTTTTCAACAAATTCACAGGTGGAAATCAAAATCCGTCACGGTGGAAGTTTCAGCGTATCCAGATTCATAGAGTGAGTTTAACCGTGAGTTTCGAGTTGCGGCGGTCCTTATTGAAATTCGAACTTTCACCGATCGAAACTTCAAATTTGACTCGGATCCGAAACCAGCTTTTCGACCGTCAGATCTCGAATCTGACGGTCCATCGACCAACTCAGTATCGAACCACTTGGATCTGAAAATGGCGTGGTTGCGTTGTGATGATGCAGTGTTGTACCAGAGTTCGCGCTTCAGACCCAAACTCTCGACTGTCTGCACCCGTCGATGTTATCAAGTTGGAGAGAACCCCGCCCATCGACGGCGTAGACAGCTCTCAATCAAAGGCTCCAAAGTGCATAGCAGATCACCGGTAGGTACAATTGTCCAATGCGGTGAATGGGGGCAAGCTGCATTCAACTTCAAGTTGGGTCACGCGGTGGCTGCGGCACTGGGGAGAGGTGGCAGTCTGGAGACGCTGGCTTGTTGATTGCAACCTCTCTTTGTGGCAGTAGATATCAGCAACGCTTTGCACCATCCTGCTCCTTGACTCATAATATCGCAATCCGTGCATTCCACAGCTGTGTCTTGACGGCTCTACCATGCTGCGGGCTGTGCGGCCTGCGGGCTGGCTGGCCCTCGGCCGCCAGTCATGGCGCTCCTCGAGCAGGGCACACCTAGTGGGGCCCCTCGAGGCCTCAGCTGGGATCCACGAAGGACCTGGCATGGTGCCACTTCGTGCATGGGGCTCCGCAGCTGCTCTGCCCATGCCCAGCTTGCTTGAGCGGCTCGGTCTCGGGCAGCAGGCGGCCGTCGGCCCTGCAAGCGGTGCCGCCTGGGTGCGGCGCTACAGCATGCCCACGACGCCCCTCCTGGAGCGCGAGACCATCGTGTACATGCGCAGCGTCAGGACGGGGTCGGAGGTGTACCTGATTGGCACGGCCCACGTGTCCAAGGCCTCAGCGGAGGAAGTCAAAGAGGTCAGGTTTCACAGGGGGGTGCATGGCAAGGGCAGGGGCAATGCAGGCCACCAAAGTTACAATGGCTGACTGAACTTTGATGAATGCTTCCCCGACAGTGGCCTAGCAAGCACTGCAAGGACGGACTTGCACTACGAGCGCCAAAGGCCCTGAATTTTCGACTGGACCCTTCCCCTTCTGCCCTTGCTAATCCACCTTCTGGTTTGCCTCAGGTGATTCACTTGGTGCGCCCGCAGTACGTGGGCGTCGAACTAGACGCGGAGCGCGCAGAGAAGCTGATGTCGGGCAAGATGTACGAGGACCAGGGCAGCCGCGGCCTGCTGGCCACACTGCGCGAGCTGATGCACGCCCCAGGGGATATCGGCCAGAAAGTGAGGCGCCCAAGTGGGCTCACACCACCTTTCCATCGATAAGTCAATGCGCTGAGGGCATTTCAATAGCAACTCCTGTTCATCTGGAAAAATAGATGTGCTAGTCATGAGGGATTGGATAAAGGAGCCTGCGCGCATTGGTTGGGTGCCTCATTGGTTACTTTTCACAAACTACTTCTGAAGACGGTTGCTGCCTGCAACTCCAGCAGTCCTGTGGTTCTCTGCTTGGTGGCACACGCCAGCGCTGTCAACCAGCTTGTTTTCTTAAGAGCCGCTTGCGCGCTGGCGAGGTGCATTGTCCAGGAGCCGTTGCATCTTTGATTGTTCAATGACAGACTGCTCCCAGTCACACTTAGCCTTTATGGATGGGGGATCCTTGCAATCACGGTAGGGCTCCAGCCCGGTCGCTGTTCAAAAAGCCACTTGCTTTTGTCCACCTTGAGGGAGGCGACTCTAGGCTGAGGGCATGTCTGTCTTGCGTACAGGTGCTGACGGTAGCCATGCGCAGTATGTACAAGATGCTGCGTGACACCGGCCTGGAGCCAGGCCTCGAGTTCAAGGTGACTTCGAACTCCCCAGCATGCGCAAGTTCAGAAAGATACGCTGTTGTGTTTGCCGCACATGGAACTCTCTTCTGCTGCCCAACAAAAACCTTCTCTGTAGGTGAAGGTGAAGTTCTGCTCATCGGATAAGGTGGGCGAGGGTGATGCTGACTTACTTGGGTGCTCCGTCATGCTGCAGGTGGCCATGGAGGAGGCCCAGAAGGTGAACGCGGAGATTGTCCTGCTCGACCGCCCCGCCCAGGTCAGAAGGAGCTCTGAAAGGCGTTGTCATGAAGGCACAATTTGATTGTGGGTCGTCAAAGCACCGTCAGGGCAACTGACTGATCGGTATCTCCAAGTCATATCTGCCGCTCATTCTTTGGCCAATCGTGATTCAACACTGAACATTTACTACTTCGCATGTTGCAATAGTAGACCAATCTTTCCAGATGAACGTATGTCCCCCTGACTGCTGGCGTGGCGGCTGTGCAGGAGACGATGGCACGCCTGCGGGAGGTGCTGAGCCTGTGGGACATCGTGAAACTGTTCACGCGGCGCATCGACCCCAACGAGGTCCCGCCCGTGCTGCGCGACATGGGCCAGATCACCCCGCAGAACATCGAGGAGACGACGGAGCAGCTCAAGACGCGCGAGGCGGTGCGCCAGATCACGGCCTTCATGGAGAAGCTCTTCCCGGACGTGGTGAGCACACCACTGCACCGACTCATCTGAGTACCGCGCTGTTCGTCAAAGCGCTTCTTTCCCTCGTTGGAGCGAAGAAGTAGCTGAATAGCAGTGGATCCAAAAGTCATATGTGGCCAACTCAAACGCTTTCGATGCTGTTGCCTCAGACCTCGCATACACGCTCGAGCCGTTTGCCTGGTTGGGAATTGAAGGCAGAACCCCAATGAAGCATTCTGCAGTAGACGGGTACACACTGATGCTCTTCATCTTCTGCCATTGTCCTCCGTATATCAACAATCCATTTCGATTCCACGCTAGTGCTCTCGCATCCGATGCACGTCAGTCGGTCGCAGGCTCGCCTTGCGTGGCTGCCCCACTCGTGCTGTCGTTGGGGTGCAGGTGCGCGTGATGGTCCACGAGCGCGACGAGATCATCTTCAACCGCCTCCGCCAGCTGCGGGGCTGCATCGTGGCGGTCGTCGGCATGGTCAGCGCGCCAGCCCTCACTACCTGGGTTCGCCATCGGCCAATCGGCTCGTGCTGTTATGCGATAAGAAAAGCCCTTTCTTTGGCAGTCACCAACCGCTTTGAGTGCCGGTTGCAGGATGCAACGGCCCTGAGGAACGGAGGGGGGCAGATTACGCACGTGGCACATGCTGTGCCGGCCTGTTTTGCAGCCGTTTGTGGCCGCTCTGCCGATCGGGCGTTCGACTCAATCCTGGGCGTACTGCGTGTGCCGACTGAGTTCGTTGTTGTGGCTGTGCAGGCTCACGTGGACGGCATCGAACGGCTGTGGAAGGAGTACGAGGACTACGGGGTAGATGAAGTAGAAGAGTTCTGACAGGCGGACAGGCAGAGTCAACACCCTCCTTTTCGCGAGCAGCTGAGGACACCAGCGGATCCCATGCTTTCGCTAAACAGTGTGTTCGATTAGAAAGCCACGCGCGGGCTGCTTTGACACAGATTGGTCGACATGAGTCGTCGAAGACAGAGGCATTGCACAGGTGAACTTCCGAGCATACATGTAGACTCTAGCGAGAGGTACATAGTCCGGTACATAGACCTGCTGATTTGAGTACTCTAGCGAAGATAGCCTGCGCATGCAGCAACTAATCGTGGATGTACATACAAGATCTTGGCAAACAAGACTTTCACTGCATACATGTGAGTTCGCAACAATGATGTTGACATGGAATGTGTCAATTATTGCTGCAAGTTGCCACCGTTCACTTGACCGTCACAGCCGCCAATTGATAAAAACAGATTCGCCAGGAGGTGCGGGCCACCCCTTTCGTTAGCCCGGAAGGTTTGAAATTAGGATTGCCATTGGTTCGATTGCATGTATGTACTAAGACAAGTACCACCTGCCGGGGCTCAACTTAGTACCGCCCGTCTGGCGATCGCCAGGATCTGGAGACCGTGTTTGTGTCACCAGTAATTGGGCCGGATGCCTGGTGCTAGCTATAGGAAGTAAGAGCAAGATTAGTGCAGAACGCCTTGAATAGATACAGTCGTCGACGCGACTTAGCCGACCACGGCTCTGACCGACGTCACTGTTAAATGATCTAAATCTATATGCACTAGCGCGGTCATTGAATCATAATCTATATATATCCCTTTTGCATCTAACATGTGATCGACCATGCATATGCTGAGTCTTTTTCGTGTAGGCCTCGGGCCGACATGTACGTGGTGATTTGAACGATTGATGCATATTATTGCAAAATTAACGTAGAATTCACCATGCAAGCTAGCGCTAGGTCGAATTGATATTCAGTGTCGGACAAGTCTAATAATCAATTAAGCTTGAAGCTCCTGTGCAACAATTTCCTAGATGATATTTATATACATATAGACGGTCATGCAATATCGCGATCATCATGATCAATTTGTATAGAATTCGCAGATCCTCTAGCTAATTCCTGCACGTACAAATATATATTAAGCGCCGGCATTGAACCAGTCAGGGTACGTGAGTGATTTCCTGCATATAGACCGGCATATAGACCGGCACTGCGGCGGCAACATTCAGCGCGTATGATATCAATATCGTATATCCATCAATGAACATGCATGCGATCATGACGACGCGTGATCGAGTCATCAGAGCTCGATGAGCTGGTTGGAAATTTGCGGCAATCATGGTGTTCCGGTCAGTCATTGTTGAATGCAGCCTGAAATGAAAGCTTAAACCGTCTCGGCCTCGAAGCCCGATCAAACCGACGGAGTCGAACTTGACCCACTGAGTCAACTTTTAGCAGCTGACCAGCCATCATATATACAAATTTCACAAATTCATGCGGTTCATGCTCGTTTATCTTCAATGTTTTCCAACACCGCAATTGCAGGGCCTTGCCAGAGAGTGAAAGCCGTGCTACAGCCCAGTTGAGCGTCAACTGTGCTTCACACATTTGCATGAGAATACTGAATCCGCGTTGTCTATGGGTGACAATGCGATCCGTGCCTTCCGAGTGAAACATAAAAAGAGTGGTCTTTCTCGATGCTTCAACTGCTCAACTGTAAGTTGGACCTGTGTGCATCTCCCCGGTTATCATATATCCCCCCTTAGAATGGCACTTGCGCATCCGCCGCATCTGCCACAACCGGCAGGCGGGGCTCCTTGCCAAGGAGGCAGGAGATGGAGCCGAAGGCAAAGCACGAAAAGATGAAGAGGAAGACGGTGTTGTAGAACAGGATGAGCGCCTCGAGGCCCGCGCCACCGGAGGGGCTGAAGCTGCGCTCCACGAGGCCAGGCAGGATGAGCAGGATGTCCAGCAGGATGGCCTGGTAGCAGTTGAAGCGCACGTAGCGCGAGTACCGCGGGTTGTTCACCACCAGCAGGTACAGCCTGCACGACCCGCGCCCAGCAGCACACGAGTCAACCCCAGGGGGCGCACCAGGTGGCGCCAAAATTGGCCACCGGTCCGTCAAAGATTGCGGCACGATGCTTCTCATAGAAGGTCTTCGAAGGGACAAGGATCATCGCAAAATGGTGCAGTTACAGACTGGTGCCTAAAGACCTACAGGATTAGGCTGTGAGGCAAGATTCAGTGAAATTGAGCAACGGCGCCAGTGGTGGTATACTTCAAGATGCGGCCCCAGCTGAAGGTTGGGCAAGTTGGGCAAGCATCACTGGCACCACCTGCATGAGGGCTTAAGCGACAGTTGTGACGAGTGGGCTCACGCGAAGAAGGCGACGAGGGAGGAGAAGGGCACGCTGTTGTACAGCTGCACCAGCGGCAGGATGGGCTGCAGCACGACCTCCGTGAAGGGGTACTGCTGGAAGAGGAAGCGCCCGTAGCGAATGCCGTCCAGCAGCGGCAGCAGGTACGCCAGCCCCGCCACCACGCGCTGCGCCGGCTCAATGCCCTCCTCGCGCCGCCGCGCCTCTATCTGCCGCCCCGAGGGCGTGCCGCTGCGTGGGGATAAACAGGGCCCGTGGCTCAGGGCTGCTAGGTGGGACGGAGCACTGAGCGAGGACAAGGAGGACAATGCTGCCGCGGCGGGCGGCGCGCAGCTCACAGTCGCAATCCGTGCCTGCGTCTGCAGCCTATGCCGCACCCGGTTGCTGTGCCATGATGCAGCATTGCACGGGAGCTGGCAGCAGGGATCAGGGCGGAGGGCGGCCACAGCAGGGGAGCGCGGCTGCGTGCCAGACAGAGCAGGCAGCAGGCTCTGGCAGGCTGCAGTGGACGCCATGACAAACAGACTGTGTCAAATCGGTGAGCGTAAGAATGCAGCGATGGGCAGCCCCAACGTACGAGTCTGCGAGGCTCTTCAGCAGTCCACTCCTGTCTGATAGCCCTCCAAGCATGCACAACTGCCACCTGCAGCCGCTTGCACGCGCTCTTGTTCGACCAAAACTACACCAACTTCAAGGCAGCTGACAAATTCTATCGAAGAATTTGCTGATGACAAAGACTAAGAAAGAAGTGCAGTCACGACTCACGGCTCAGCTTTCTATGACATCTTCCTACAATTACGGGACCTTACGTCGTTGACACCAACGGTTTGTCATTTGAACTGAAGAATATATGTATTGAGTATTGAAGTGTGGAAAGTGTCAGAATCTCGGCCAGAATATTCAAAGGTATTCGTCCGAGGCCCGGTCAGGTTGAGTCGAAACGAAGCACTTTGACGAAGTGAACCTGCTTCAAGTTCCCTGCCAGTGCAACGCGCAAATGATTTCAGCTCTGGAGTTCTGAGCAAGGCGACTGACAGTGACATTGTCATCATTGTCGGGTGTTCAATCACCAGCCACTGGAACATTGATCTCTTGCGCCCTGGCTCGCACATTGGCTCTGGTTTACCCTGTGAGGTCGCTACGAGCAACCATTGTTGATCTGCCGGGAAACTTCGTCTACCCAAAGAAGTCTGATCGGCGTGGTCAAAGGAACCACAGTTGCTTAAGAGGTGCCCGGACTTTGAGAAGATGACGCGCTCTGTGGCGATTATCATGGTTGGGGGGCCAACGAAAGGTGAGTGTCAATAATTTAGCAGCTGCCGCCAATGCGGGGCTGGCAAAGTTTCAGGTGATCAGCAGAATGCACTCTCAACTGCCAGCTCGATGGAGGAATGACTGCCGTGACAGTGTAAGAATGTGTGGCTGTGATTGTCTGGCTGTACAGCATAGGCATTGGGGATTGGCCAACTTGCGCTATATTGAGCACTCTTTGTGAGGGTTGCAATTCAGAAACTTGCGCAACACCTCAGCCTTGTTTGTCTGTTGGTTGATGGATTGATGGACAAGGTGTGGATTTTGCAAGAGGGATTTGTGGATCCATGATGGGGATTGCCTGCGGCGGAATGCAGGCACCCGCTTCCGGCCCCTCTCCTTCAATGTCGCCAAGCCCATCTTCCCACTGGCTGGCCAACCCATGGTGCATCATCCCATCCAGGCCTGTAAAAAGGTGAGTGCTGATGAAGCTCCAACAAATGCAGATCTTGAAGTATCGCTTCATTTGTCTTGCAGATTCAACTACTGCATTGACCTCACGTTGTTGCCCATCGAGGGTCAATTTGTGACTTGATGTGACACTTCATAGATTCTGTGCTTAAACGTGATCCTTCTATCCAAGCTGGGTGAGGAGACTGCTAGCTTGACTCCGGCTCTCAGCGTCTCTGGCCCAGTCCCGCAGCATCCCTGAGTGTGTCCCGCCTTGCAGGTCCCCGACCTGGTGCACATCTACCTGGTGGGCTTCTACGAGGAGAAGGAGTTCCAGCTCTACGTGTCTGCGCTCTCCACTGAGCTCAAGGTGCCCGTCAGGTGAGCCACCGCCCCCCTGCCCTGCAAACCACCAGCTTGGCGCGCTTCTTGCACTTTGTGCCTCTAGGGCTCAGCCAGGGCTGGCCGCCACTCCCTGAGGCCCAGCAGGACAAACAGGCAAGGGCCAGTGTGCCCACTGCCTGGAGCCAGTGTGGCACTGGGGGCTGTTGCCTGCGCCGCGCTGTGCTGACTGTGCGTGGGGTGATGCGCAGATACTTGAAGGAGGACAAGGCGCGCGGCTCCGCAGGGGGGCTCAGCCACTTCAAGGACATCATCATGGAAGATGACCCAGTTAGTGCCACCACCAGATCTCAGAGCCTCGCCTCCGACTTTACATGCATTTTGTTTGCATTCAACTCAACAGATCTGATAGTGACACGTTCTTCTTCAAAGTGTGCCATCCGCTGAGGACCTGGATGCAAACCTGTTGGTTGCAGTGACAGGGAGTTGAGGGCTTCCTCTCCTGGCCGCCGAGCACGTACTGGCTGCGCTCTTCACATGCTGCCCGGTGTCTTTGTGTGCAGGACATGCTGTTTGTTCTCAACTGCGATGTCTGCTGCAGCTTCCCCCTCGCAGAGCTGCAAGGTGGGCCCGCAACCTCTGGCTGCCCCTCCAAGCACGATGCCCCGCAGCCTCTTTTCTAACTGCCAACGAGTCCTTCGTGAGACTGCCTATGCCCGCCCTGCCCTTCTTGATGTGGAACACTCGTTGTAAGATAGGCGCACCCAAGCCTGTCCAAGCTTCCTGACGTCATAATCTGACTTGGTATGGTGTGAGCCGGCGTGCTGACTGGTCAGTGCGTGCGGGCAGAGGCGCAGCGCGCGCGCGGGGGCCTGGGCACGATCCTGGTGAAGAAGGTGTCCAAGGAGAAGGCGGCCGAGTTTGGGGAGCTGGTGGCGGACCCGCAGACCAAGGAGCTGCTGCACTACACGGAGAAGCCCGAGACGTTTGTGAGCGACCTCATCAACTGCGGCGTGTACGTCTTCTCGTCCAGCCTCTTCGACCACATCAGCTCCGTCTCCACCTTCAAGAGGGACACCGGTGAGGCCCCGCAGCGACGCGTCAGGACAGGCTGAGCTGGGATCTGCCCAGCTGTAACGATTTCAGACCATGGAATACTTACATTTATTTGGCAGATCAAGAGCAGCCGAAATGCGTGAAGTCTGGTTTGCTTCGGGAATTTGTTTTGCTCCATATCTTCATAGCGTATTGCTGACATGTCCCGGATATGACGTTCTGGCTGGCTGTGTGACGCCCCCTGCTTCGTGGCACGTGCAGCGAGCTTGAAGCGCGCTTCCAGCTTCGAGGTCCTCGCCACTGCCAGCACCACCAGGTTAGCCGGCGTACACCTTCTCAACAGTACCTTGGTTGTGACGCAGCCGCTCCACAGACCTAGGAAATGCTGCAAGCAACACCGTTCTTTGGAACATGCTGTGCAGTATACTTGATTGTGAGTCGCTAGAAGTTGGCGTGTTTGCCACTTCGGCCGGTGGAGGCCTGTCGGGGGCCGTGTCTCTGCAGTGGTTGGTGACTGAGCGGGTGTGAGCGTGTGTGCAGGGGCTCGGCAGCGGAGTTCATCCGGCTGGACCAAGACGTGCTGACGCCGCTGGCGGGCAAGCGCCAGCTGTACGTGTACGAGACGCTCGACTTCTGGGAGCAGATCAAGACGCCCGGGTGAGAGGCCAGAGGAACCACCCGCACGAGACGCTGGAACTTGCAGTATCGCAGAGCATGGACAGGAAGCTGCCTCCACCACGGGCAGCCCATTCGCGACCGCTCTCTGACACACCTGGGCATGCCTCTGCCAAGCTGGGCTGGAGAGGTTGCCATTTCCCATTTCTCCTGGAGCCGCCTCGGCGTGGCTGACCTGCGTGGCGTGCTTTGTGCAGCATGGCGCTGCGGTGCTCCGGGCTGTACCTGGCGCAGTACCGCCGCACAAACCCCGGCCTGCTGGCCTCAGGAGACGGCCCGGGCAAGGCCGCCATCGTCGGCGACGTCTACGTGCACCCCTCGGCCAAGATCCACCCCTCCGCCAAGGTCAGACCCCGCCCGCTGCTGTCAGCCGTGTTGATGCGCCCTTGCGAACAGCTGCCTCGTCGCGGCAGACATTGGGCACCACTCGTGCAGCCTCGTGGAATCTTTCGCTGCGTGACCCAGTCCCTGCTGGGGTTCCTGGCACGTGGCCACGGTGTGACGTGCGCTGCTGTGCTGCAGCTGGGCCCCAACGTGGCGGTGGCGGCCAACGCGCGCATCGGCGCGGGGGTGCGCCTCATCAGCTGCATCATCCTGGACGACGTCGAAATCAAGGTGCGCGCACAGCGACCCTGCCAACTGCTCCTCGGGGCCACGCTCCTTTGTTAGTCTGAGCAGAAGTGACTGACACCTGGGCAGACCTTCCGCAATGCTGACTGAAAGGCAAACATTCTCCTGCGCCAGATGATGTCCCTTGACTGCGCGGACAATCAGTCCCTATCTCGCCCCCTCTTGGACAGGACGAGTATCCGTATTGACACCCATGAGGTAAAAGCAGCGAGACAAAGAGGCGAGGTAACGTAGCGGGCCCCAGGACGATGGTCTCCAGCAGCACGTCGGGCGCAGCCACGAGTCCGGGACACCGCCTGTGCATCCCCGCGCACACGCCTGCCTGTGCCGTTTCCGCCTCATCTCCGGCCTAGTTCGGAGCTGACATACTGGCCCGCGTGCTTGCAGGAGAACGCGTGTGTGATGCACTCCATCGTCGGCTGGAAGTCCACCATCGGCCGGTGGTCCCGCGTCCAAGTAAGCCGCCGCACACCACTACTAACCGTCACTGCAGCCAGTCCCGCGGCATGGGAAGGCTCGTTGGCCCGGCATGTCTGACGTGTATGCTCTTCGCTGAGCCGCTTCTTGGCTGCCTCGTGCAGGGCGCTGGCGACTACGAGGCCAAGTTGGGGATTACCATCCTGGGTAAGGGCCCCTTCGGCATGTGTCCTTAAGCGCGATGCGGCCTGGCCCACACAGGCGTCCGAGCGTAGAGGGCCACTGATTGTATGTTGTCGTGAATGATTCCTCATGCTCTCCTCCTTCCCTCCCGGTCGTCAGCGGCGCTGCTGACGGTGGCGGTGGCGGTGTGCAGGCGAGGACAACGTGGTGGAGGACGAGGTGGTGGTGGTCAACTGCATCGTGCTGCCGCACAAGTCGCTTTCACGCACGGTGCGCGAGGAGATCATCCTCTGACGCACCACCGCCACCGCCACAGCCACCCGCCTATGCCAGCTACTCACCGTTGTCTTTCTCGCACGTGTTTACAACCCTCGTTGTTTCAGATTGGAAACCAAAGCCCCTCGATCGGTATAGCCGACCTCGCTAGCGTTCAACGTTCTAGCTATGAGTCTACTCAAGAGCGAGTAACCGAAGATTGAAGCGGCAGGTTGCGGCATGCTGCTAGCATTGCAGATGCATGGGAACGTTGCTTAGCTCGAGATTCGAGTCGTCTTGACACGATCGGACTTTTCGGTGCTGATGGATTATTGAGGAGATTTGAGCTGTAATTTTACACTCGACACAAGTGGTTACCTTAACTCATCCGATCCCAACAGCTAGACTCGCCTTGAACAGCTTCGTTTTGTTGAAGGACCTGGGACCACGTTCACTTATTTCGTGAACTCGATTAGCGGTCCCACAATGCTGTGCAGACCGCGATGCCGGTGCCGGGCGGCACAGCTAGCTACTCAATGAAACTTGTACACGAACATACTCCTCGTTTGAACTAAGGCAATAAGACGCAAATTAGCTGGTTCGGCCCGGCGGGACTCGCCGTATATACTTGATGACGCTGGCTCACCGGGTAACCGTCTGTCTTGCAATGCATCATAACAATATGTTATGCCATTGATCGATGCGACGGATGTCCGACGCTGCTGGGACCGGCCGGACAGGATATCGTGGTCGGACTCATGGTCTATTCGATCACTGGCACGCTCCGTATATACAGCTAGCCATGATCATTGAATTGGCAGCCATATATAGCTAGCTCTAGGCTTCCGACTCATGGCATATACGTATATATATTGGCCGGAACTTGACTCTAAAAGCTAAGAAAATTGAAACATATGACGTACGTACATGCACATGCATGATGAACAATTCAATGATCGACTACTTCGCGAATATATTGATCTGCAGTATAGGCATGATGTGCATGCACGATGGTTGATTAATTTTAGAATATTAAAACTCGATCCACTGTATAGTTTCAAAGCGCTAGCTAGGGCCGCCGGCTATAGCTAACGTATACATATGTATGTACAAGTCTGATCTACAGCTTATATCTTGAACAATGCGCATCCATATGACCTCATTGAATGGCATGATCAAGAACTCGGAATAAGTCCTGAATCCAGCTTCGACTCGGACCGGTGGGGCCGAATTGTTCCCAAGATACTGTAGATCGAACTGCCGCCGGCCGGGATGCTATAATGCGGAGCGGCGCCGCGCTCAAAATCATGCAAGACCCTCATGCCTTATTGTTAGTCTGCTTGATCTGAGCCCGTCCCTCTCAATCACAGGTTTTAGACCGAACTCGAGCGCATGGCATGCTAACCGGCGCACCTGAGATACCATGGGGGCTGAGAAGCATTCGACCACTAGGACTATAATTGTGGCCGCCCTGACTTATATTTATAATGCACCTCTACGCGACTTGTGCATGTGGCCTAATCTGGCGCTATGGTGAGCCACAAGTATCACTGCCATTTCGACGTCACAGGCAACCGGGATTTCGGATCAAATGTCATCGTACTACTACCACTTGCATCAGAACTTAATTGGCTACTCCAGGGATATATAACTTTGTTACATGATATAACCTTACCAAACGTGCTTCGTTCAAGCTTTAGGGACTAGAAAAAACCGTACATACAACAAAGCAGCTACCTTGGAGCCGTTAGTGCTCGCTAGACCCATTGGTTACTTTGTGCTTCACTGATCTGCACGTCATCGTGCATGTGTGGGAGCGTGTTGACGTCAATCTTGACCTCCTCTTCCTTCTTCTTGCGCCCCCGCTTCTTTGCCCCCCCCCCGGCGTCCCCGTCGCCCTTGCGCTTCTTGGGCTTGGCCTGCGGCTCGTGCACCAGGCCCGGCGCGAGGCTGTCCTGCCCCTGCAGCGGCGCCCCCTGCACGTTCTCCAGGTGCGGCTGCAGGAACGCCACGATGTCCTCCACGCGCGCCAGTGCGGTGCGCGCTGTCTCCTTGGGCGCCAGCACCGACCACGCGTGCAGCAGCGACAGGTGCGCGCGGAACTTGCTCCAGTGCTGCGCCGCCTTGGCTGCCAGGGGGGAAATGCAGAGGTCGCATGTTAGTGCCAGAAACGGGCAGCCGCTACCGGCCGCCCACAACGACGCATGCGCCTGTGACTTTCACTGAATTCACCACCACCGTGTAGCTACGGGATTGATCCTCTGAAGCGAAGTCCTATGCATCATCAGCAGCGTCCGCCCAGGGTCCCTTCCGGTTTCTGGATAACTACGAAGAGCATGCTTCTGTGGCGGTCGGAGGACATCAAAAGCGCGGGAGGGTCCCATCCCGCTGCTTGCATTCAATACGGAGAGCCGCTGATACATTGCACGAGGCTGATCTAGAGAGGCACTCCTGATATTCCAATGAGGAGGGCAAACGAAGAAACCTTCACCCATCAGAAAGTGCCGTTCGAACAGAAGCATCTCGAAATAGAGGTTGCTTGAAACCTCCGGATTGGAACAGCGCTCAACACGCTTCCCGACACCAAGGGCAGCTGCGGCAGGGCTTACAGATTTCATCGCGCTGCTTGCGACCCTCCACGACCAATTGCGCCTTGATGGTCTTCTCGTCCGGAAAGAAGCGCTTCGCATTCTGTACAACACTGGAACACGTCAGCTCACAAAGGCGAAACAAGCAGGTTGGAAACAGGCACAGACTTTATATGACGCCTGTGCCTGACTCCTCATGATCCATACGCCGCCTAGGAGAACGTAGCTCAATGGAACATGGTGGGAGCTGCATTGACGTGCCCGCACTTTCTTCCAATCACGACGCCGGCTTCAAGCTGCCTTGCGATTCTCGCACATCTTGCGCGCCGCTTGGCCCCCCCCGGTTGCGCTGACCTGCGCTGCGTCGTGCGCCGCCTCCTGCTGTACGATGGCCCCCCCCAGCGCGTGCAGCTGCTGCTGGATGCTCTTCCAGTCGTGGCCCTCCTTGGCCAGCTCCTTGAGGCGGTCGCTCACGCGGTCGTCCACCGGCAGCGCCTCCACGTCCGCCGCGCTGCCCGGCACATGGCCCTCGTGGCCCACCTCCAGCTCCACCGTGATGGGCCCGCGCTCCAGGCTCAGCTGCACGCACCAGACACGCGCCAGCCGCTCAACATAGGGAGCGCAGGGGGCGCAGGAACACGGGGGACACAGCTAGACGGCAGAGAGAAGCAAGACCATGGCCTACAGGTAAAGCACCGCACTGCACCGCAATGCAGTAGCTAGTGCTTCCAAGATGCTGGCAAGAGCAACGGGGCTGCTCCTTGGTGAACACAAAGCGGGCCCCCTTGGTTTTCCGCGTACCTCATTGACGTTGATGACAGCAGGCACCTCCTCCTTGGGTGCCGCAATGGCCTGCTTCGGCGGGGGCGGCCGCTCCGATGCCTCCGCGTACGGGATCCTGGCGATGATGCGCGCGGCGCACTTGACCTTGAGCTTTGGATTACAGCGGTACTTGACGTACAGGAACTCGGAGCGGCGGCTGGTCATCCACGCGCTGTACACCGTCACCGTCTCGTACTCCAGGCTCCGCTTGAACGCCAGAAACGCGCCCAGGTTGGGCAGGCTCGCAATGTAGCTGTCGGGGTTGCCTGCCAGGCACCCACAGCACAGGGCAGGTCAGGCCCGCAGCGCGGCGTGATTCCACGACCTTCACACCGGACCGATCACACAACCCCTTTTGTGGGGTGGTCCAGTACCCTGCATCCATGTGTATGCTTCATGCCCATGTTTGCAACGAAGAGCCCTCACACAACTCAGTAATGCTGCGAATGTTGTCAAACTGAAGGCCCACCAACAGCAGATCAGACTGGCTGGAATGGGAAGGCAAGCATGCGGCCGCAGGCTGTACCTCCCTGCCCCGGGCAGTAGTTGCCCTGCAGCAGCCCGAAGGCGGCCAGGTTGGCGGCATTGGTGGCCGGCTCCGGCCCGAGCACCGCCTCCAGGTCCTTCTTGTATGTCAGCCGAAACTTGAGCACCTTGGCTGCAGGCAGCAAGGGACCCGCAGGAATGGGCACAGGAGAAGCCAATGGCACTGGAATTGCTTCCCACCAGACTAGCAGAGGTTCACATAGAATATAGCGAGCAGACTTGCTCTCCAGCTCGTCAGAAACCTCTCTCTCACAAGATGGCGATTCAAATCGCAGCTGGGAAGCGATGCTGTTCCTTTGCACCCCAGCACGCTGTCCAAGAACCAGGTTCTGACAGACCTGGCCCACGGTCGTGCATTGCAGCAACAAAGCTTTGATCTCTCTTGTCTAATCCTGCAATTGTGGGTTGGTTACCTGGGTCCTGAACGTGCTTGAGCAGCGCCTCCAGCTCGTCCCACTTGCTGAGGGCGGGGCTCTCATGCTTGCCGGAGAAGGCAATGCGCGGCAGGTCCAGCAGCTTCTTGTCTCCATCTCTGTCCAAGGGCAGATTGTACAAAAGAATCAGCCTAAGCTCCAGTTGGTTAAGGCACGTCAGTCTTTGCAATGCTCAGCTCAGACGACCTCCATAAGTAATCAACCAAGACAATGCAAACAATGAGCAGGATAAGTGGAAAACATTGGTCTGCAGCCTACCTGTAACCCTTAAAGCGGTCCCTTGCATCTGATCCTGGCTCCTTCTCCAGAACTAAGTTGATAATGTCATAGACTGACAAATACCCGCCTTCAGTTCTTAATTTGCTCCTAGGTTCTCCTGGAGTCTTTGGAGTTTTAGTTTTCTTGGCACTGCCAGGCGGACCTTGCAACCCCGGGGCCAATGCTAAAGGCGAAGCCAGCTCTTGCACAGGATTCTGTGCCCCTCCCACCTGCCCTACATTCATTGTGCTGGAGCTCAATTCGAATTCAAAAGTTCGCGATGTCCAGCAGCTATACGAGCCGCGCTCTTCCCCTCCCCCCTGCAGAGTGGGTCCAATTCCAGCTCGCGCCCCCTTTCGTGTCGTTCTAATGCAAGTGCAACCCTACGTCCTCGAAACCCCTTCCCCATCTCTTCCTTTGCTTCATCCTCCACATCGCACGGAAACCTGTAGGGGTCTCATGTGACCAACAGTCGATGAGGAACTCTTAAGGATCTGGCTGACTCGGATAAAACCGTTGCTCTTGATCCGGTCACCGGGCCTCTGCTTGTGATTTGTTTGCACCCTGATTCCATCTGCCCGGAGCCGGGGTGTGCTTTTCTTTCGATGACTGGAACGCCGGAACTTTCCTCCCGGTAGGTACCTTATAGACATTTCTACCTTGGCCGGTAGTGCGAACCGGGTATCTTCGGAGAGCTGGAAGAAACTTGCATGGCTGGGCAGCGCCGCGCAATGGTGATCGTTGCAGGTTCGCCACACCGGTTGATGCTTGCAAGTTGTAACGGGGAAGTCGGGACACATCCGTGGCTTCCCCGGCGCAGATGTCGATCAGACTCGAGTGCCGATTTCTGCACGATTGGAATCGTCCGATACGATTCACGAAGATATATCCACGGCCGAGAGAGCTGATGATGGAAATCCACTCTCTTGCTCTCAGGGCTCCTTAGGGTTTTAGGGTATTGTGGTGAACGTACCGGTACGCATTCCGGGGGACGGAATTTTTATGGGCTGTCATTTTCCGCAAAAATCGGGGTTTTAGGGTTTTAGGGTTTCAAGGTTTTAGTGTTTTAGGGTTTTAAGGGTTTAAGGGTTTTAGGGTTTTAGGGTTTTAGGGTTTTAGGGTTTTAGGGTTTTAGGGTTTTAGGGTTTTAGGGTTTTAGGGTTTTAGGGTTTTAGGGTTTTAGGGTTTTAGGGTTTTAGGGTTTTAGG